GCGACCACACAGACAGACAGACCAGCCTGTTCGTGTCTGTGTGTGTGCTTGGATTGCATTGCAGATAGAGCGTGTTCGTGCGGAGGTAGCCGAGGAGATGCAGCGTGAGGCGTCCCATGCGGCCGACAAGCACCGGGTCCAGAGGGCCGAGCTCGAGACGGAGAACGCCGACCTCAAGCAGCAGCTGGCGGCGGAGCAGCAGGAGCTCAAACAGCTCCAGTCGCGGTACCACCACCTGCTCATGAGCTCCGTCGGGTCGTCCACGTCAAACCCCCATAATCTGGTCCAGGCCACACACAGCAGCCAAAGCCACCTCCACAACGGGCCCGTCTCGCCCGACCCGCCGCACATCAACGGTGTGGTGGCCACTCCCCCCTCTCAATCGAGCCGCGACAACGTCATGATGGAGGACGGCCTGACTTCGCGGCACAACGTCGAGTCGCCAGTGCAGCCGTCGGCGCAGGCGAGGCAGGGGGCGGTGGTGCTGCCCTTCTGGTCGTCGGACACACGCTCGGACATTCTGCTCGTTGGCGCGCCGGGAGCCGGCAAAACACAGCTGCTCGAGAGCCTCTTTGAAAAGGTCGGTCCGTAGCCAGCCATGGCTGGAGAGAGAGAGAGAGAGAGAGGGAGAGAGAGGGGGAGGGAGGGGAGAGAGAGGGAGGTGGTGGCAATGAGAGCACGGCTCTGAATGTGTGTTGTGGGACGTCCAGATGGGCGACACGGCGAATCTGGATAGGCTGCGTCGTGAGCGTTTCACGACGGACCCGACGGTGACTTTGGTGTACTTCAACGTCACGATGGACGGCTACGCCTTCCGCATCCTCGACTGCCCGGCCTCCGACTTCATGGGCGACCCCTACGAGTCCATCATCAAGCCGCAGTTCAGGCGCAGCAGGTGGGCCGTCATCCTCTACGACATGTCAAAGCTAGACACCTACCAGGCCGCCGTCAGAGCACTCGATGAGGTAGGTAGAGACGTCAGGTGGCAGGGGACAAGGGGAGAAGGAGTGGATCGATGGATGGATGGATGTGGTGGTCGACTCAGGCGCGGCACTCCGGCGTCAACTTCCTGCTCTTCGGCAACAAGTGGTCACACAAAAACGAAAACGCCTCCATCGAGGTAGGTACCGTACCTGCGCTGCTGGTAGCAACATTGCCTGGCACCCACACACAGCACAGAAACCCATGTGTGCGTCCTCCTGTCGCTGCGGTGCATTGGGTCACGTGACGCAGGTGGATCTCTACGAGGCCAAGGACAAGGCCGCGTCGGGTCTGGGGCTCAGCGTGGAGAGCGACGATCTGTCCGACGCCTTCCACCCCATCATAGGCGACCTCAAGACGGAGGCCCGACACACCGGCATGTACTCGCGCGTCAACAACACGAACACGCCGCAGCCGAACTACTACCGGGCCGCCAACAAGCCCCCTATCGGCCCCTCGTCAGCCACCGCACCGAGGCGGTCCACACCTGCCAGGCTCCACCCCCCACACACCGTACGCTACGCGACGCATCACAGAGATGGAGATCCTGTCACTCAATTCATCAGTCCATGTGTGTGGTTGTGGGTGTGGTTGTGGGTGTGGGTATGGTTGGCTGCACAGCGTCTGACGGCCAACCCGGGGAACCGTTCTCGCCTGGCGACGACGCTGGAGAACATGCGGTCGTGGTTCAGAGGAGAGGAGCCCAAGAGAGCAGTCGGCAACACCTCGCAGGTACCCTTGGACGGAGGCCAACCCTGCAGGCACTGTTTCACTCTATGCCTGTGTCCCTCCCTGTCTGTCTGTATCTGTCTGTCTGTCTGTCTGTCTGCAGCTGTTGGTTCCCTCATTGTATGCGCCTGAGTCCAAGAGGCCTCCGCCCTCCAAGAAGGGCGACCACTCGGCCGACGTTATGCCCGTCCAACAAATAGAGGTCAGACAGACAGACAGACAGACGAACAGACAGGTGGTGCGGTGCATGGGATGTGCACTTGTCTAGTTCCACCTGCCTGTGTTTTTGCGATGTGTGTGTGTGCGTGTGTGTGTGTGTGTGTGTGTTTAGCTCAAGTCGCCCAGCGGTCAGGCGAGCGCGGTGACGTGTCTGGCGCTGGGCCGGGAGCGCAAGAAGAAGCCCTACTTCTTCCTAGCTATCGGCACCAAGGAGGGACAAATCACCGTGTACAGGTCAGAGCCGCCCCCCCCCCCCC